AAATTGGAAGGAACCCTTTGAGAATTTTAATGACGATTTTCCCACCGACTCAAAAGGTGATATTTCATGATAAGATTCATGCGTGAATAGAACAATAGATGAATGTTGATCTTGATTTTTTTATTGTCCATGAATAGCGCAGGAATTTTTTTCAGAAAAAGCAACATTGTTTTTTCAAAGGTATTGCTACGAGGTAAATTTCAATATGAATAATTTTTACCAGCATTCTGTAATTATGATCTCACATAGTGCCCAAATGGGAAACCCGCGTATATAAAAGAGCGTTCATACAGAACTATGTTTTCATCTACAGATCTTTATGAATTTTTGTAAACTCGGTTGATTATTAAAAACGAAAAAGTAAGCAATAATGTTCAAATGAATGCATAAGTAAACTCATCATATTTCCAGCAGGAAGCCATTAGCTCTATAGTGTTTGAGTTCCTTGTTCAGAGCTTTTTTGCAAATAAATTTTTGGCTGAGCCATGCATAGCTTTAGTAGACTACAATTCAGTTCTTATTCATATTAGGTTTCGCAAAGTTTGCTCTATGTTCAAATCTCATACCCTTCGTTTATTTTTTTGATATTTTCTAACTAAAATATGATGTACTGCTTAGTGAGCGCAGCCAATACGGACTTAAAGAATTAAATGATCCAACCGGAGTATTAGGTCCTTAAAGTTTAGTAGTGGTAAAAGTTATGATGCTGCAGGGAACTGTTAATAATCTTATAATGTTTACAATTTAATTTCATTAACATTACAGTAAACTGATTCCAGTGTGTTTTCTTACGAAAATTTATTTATTAGTCGCAGGTATAATATTTTGGAGGGTTCCATGTAATATTTTTCTAGTATATTGCAAAAGATCCACCGTTTATTTTTCCAAATCAACTTTGATTTGTTACATACTGACCCTAAACTAGTGCAGGGTAAATATATACGGTAGTATTAAATCAGAAGGTTCACTTAAACTTGATGCTGCTCCTTCATCGTCGTATCCTGTTCCACTTTTCTGTAATGAGTTGACTCCTGTGCTAAATTCACTCATTTAACTCTTCCTTATGATTCTAGTTCATTCTTTCCTGTTATTTTGAGATTTTAACTATTTGGGCTTGGAAATTAGGCCTTACTCTCTAATAGCTTATCAAACAACCGTCTAGAGAGAACACATTAAAAGTACTATGTAGGAACTAATTTAATACTCTGAAAGCTAGATTAACCTGAACTTTGCAAACCCGCCGTTGAACTGGTCCGTCCAAACAGCTGAAACGGCAATTCCACTTAGTGGATGTGGACGTGAGC